GATTTCCTAGAACAAATGCAATAGTGTGAGTTTGAGATGGCAACTGTAGCTGCCCTGTTCATTGGCACCACGCCTTTCCACCATATCACAGTGTGTTGTGTGTGCAGGTCTCAGCTCCTGTTCTTGTTGAATCAAGATACCATTATGATCATGGAGAACAGAGTGAGTGGTTGGAAATGCAGTTAGTTTTGTGGTACCTCTCTGACATGAGGGAGATCCTGGCTTTGGATATAGACTGTTCCAAGTCAGATGAAAGTTCGTCACTGAGGTACAGCAGCCACATGTGGAACCACCTCATATTGCTTCTGTCCCATGGCAGCTTAGTCACTGATGGACATCCCCTGGGGAGCCAGTTCTTGCCTCCCCTTGAGAGCCAGCTGAAGCTGGGTAGGAAGGGAGCAGGCTGAGATACCCCTGTATTAGGCCACTGTGGGTTTTGAGCTGTCTCTTGCAGAAATTTAAAGCAGATCTTCATCTGGTTTTGAAACTGGACTGCAACTATCCCAATGGTTCTGCAGAGGAAGCGCTGAGGTTTGTTTTTCAGGTGTATTCATTGTAATGAGGTGTTGAAATTGCAGTGAGCTCAGAAACCAGTTCACCAGAATCCAACAATGCTACAGAAAATCGACCACAAACAGGTCTACAATGGTAGCACACAGAGTGAAAATTAATATGTGTCCTGTAAATAATTGCCTTCATGCCTCATTGCAAATGCAGTAGTTAAACATTTCTGTCTTGTGAGTAATTTCCTATTCACAGTTTGTGAGAAGGCATAAATGTAAAGAAAACAGGTTTGGGGTCCTTTTGTTGGTTTTTTGTTTTGTTTTTAAGTCTGCTAATTTCAATTCACAAACACCATGGGAGCCTGCAATTCCAATTTTCTTTTCACAGTATTAATGAAAACTAGGCACTGAAAATAGTTAGATTTTTCCCTCTAAATTTTAAACCATTTAGAAATACAGTCAAGAATAATAACTTTCTAATCCATTTTTACACAACGTAAAACTGTGCTCAATTGCTATTATTTCATGCAAAGCTTTTCATAAGTGGTAGAAGAGGCTTTTAAAAATCAGTCTGTTCTAAGCTAGTCTTTGAGACAATCCAGTTGTATGCTGTTGAGAGGAAGAGCTGTGCATCAGAGAAGTTGTTTTAAGAGGGAATCATTGCACCACAAGATGACTTTTGTTTCTTCTCACTGTTATGGCAAGGTCTGAACATATTTATTGTCTTTATGATTTTGTCTTGTCAAACTATCCTCAATTTATTGTTTAAATAAATAGATGGGTTCAGGTTTGGGGGTTTTGTTTAGATTATTTTTTGTTCTTAAAAAACAGAGTAATTTTTTAATGACATTTAATCTTAACATTCACCTATAAGGTATTTCACTTCTCACTTTACAGTAAGAATCATTGAATCATAGAATCAGCTGGGTTGAAAGGGACCTCCAAGATGATCCAGTCCAACCCTTGATCCACTACTGCTGTGGTTGCTAGGCCATGGCACTAAGTGCCACATCCAGTCTCTTTTTAAAAATCTCCAGGGATGGAGAATCCACCACTTCCCTGGGCAGCCCATTCCAATGTCTGACCACCCTCTCTGTAAAGAAATTCTTTCTAATATCTAACCTAAACCTCCCCTGGCACAACTTGAAACTATGTCTGGGATGAGGTTAGTATATTTTTCATGCTGCAGACACCAACCTTGACTGCAATCAGGTAGCAGACAAGGTTATCCATAGACATACCTCTGCTGTTGTGCCAGGAGCCAATGACTCTGCCTGGTTCAGCTACCAAGATGCTAGTAAGAAAACTGCATCAAGTGTTTCTCCAAGAGCTGGGAAGCAAAGAGCAAAACCTTATAATCTTCATTTTGCTCTCCATTGAGATCATCTGCTGTCCCTTGCAATAGTTCCTGTCTTGCAGGGGAAAAATAATCCAGGTAAATTTCCCTTGGGTACTCCAGTCTTAGTCAAAGGTCCTGCTGAAATAGAAGGCAGCTGCTTCAGCAACATTATGGATGGGAATTTGTTTATTTATGTATATATTCAGAAGAAGTTTCGGCTGGCCTTTTTCCAGTGGACCTTTCCTCCCTGTCTCAGAATAGGACACTTGCTTTAGTGGGTACTCCATTAGCTGTCAAAAATGCTCACAGACAAACCCATGTGCTTTGTAAAACTTCCTGTTTCCTCCTCCTTCATTTGGGAGGCCTTGCTAGTTTAAAAGCGTATTTTAATGTAAATGAAAGAAAAATAGCAAGAAGTCCTTTTCCTTGATGAACTGCTCCTTTCACAGAAGTCCAAACAAATGTAACAACAGATGCTTTGAAATGTTATAAGTTTAAATAACATTAATGTAGTGGTTGAATATTTCTCAGACAGATGGGATAAATGAGATAATTGTGAAAACATTCTTAAAATAAAAGGAAACCATCAGGTGAAAGGCAGGAGTTTAGGTAGTGTTGAAAAATATACCTTAAATGTTTCTTTAGGTTGCAATGTTAGAAGAACATCTTCCTCTGAGCAAGCTGTTAAGTGTCACTTAGTAGACATTAATTGTAAAGTTAATTGATGGCATTTGGCCCAAATCACTGTATTTTAAAGAGAAGGAGCAGCTGTTAGTCCATCAGGTATTGACAGAGTTTGTTCAGTTGCTTCTGTTATTTCTCAGACAGGAATTAATTTCCTGAAATCACATACACTAGGATAAGACTCTGTCTCATTTTCATTCACTATGGAAGTACTCAGTCTTTGTTCTGCAACAATGCATTGTCTTTTGTAAAAAAATAAATGACACCCTATGTGTAAAAGAATTTCCATTTTCTACAATAGCTACAATGAAGAAACAGGATCTAAACCAGCCACAGACTGGAACAGACCACTTTCTTAGGGTGGTCTAAGGACCACCCTTTCTTAGGGTGGTCTATCATTTCTACCCTGAAATGATAAAAAAAATCTTCAAGATCTCTTGTGTAGTCATACAAAACACCAATTGTACTAACTCATAACAACTAAGAACTTCCAGAGAGAGAAAAAAAAAGTTAAAATGCTATTTTGTATGAATTACGGGCATTTTTTGAGCCTTAGAGTGGTGCCTCTGTTCTTTCAGCCAAATAAAATGTCAACGTCTTTAAATCTATTTGGGATAACTGCCAGGAAGTGGTGTTTCAGCAGTAAGAACACAAATCATCAATAAATAAATGATGAGTAATACTAAGGTGGGGAAGAAATTTATTTCTTTTGGAGGTTTGTGGGTTTTTTGCTATGTTTATTATTCATAGGCCATTTGTAGATGTCTGTAGTTGGTGGCTGCTTTCAATTCTGGTTGTCTAAACTTGTTGCAATTTTTTGACGAGTGTAGGTAGTTTGGCTGGCATTACCTTTAATGTAGCATCCTTAAAATCATAATCTTCCTAATATGTCTTTACAGTGCAAAGAAAAAAAAAAAGTGACTGAGGTATAATGTGATTTTGTGGACTTTAAGCAAGACACTTATCTAATACACTTCAATAAAAATACTACCTGTAGGCAAGGCCCGATAAAGCTAACATTATAAATATATTGTAGGACTAGTGTTTAATAGTACTCTTAGTTAACATTTATATTTTAGAGATTGAATTTTTAGCCATGCATAATGATTTAAAATTCAGTTTCTATAAAGCAGCTTGCATGCTTAATGAGAGTGTTCTGCACTGCTCAGTGGGAAACCCTGGTTCACTCATTGCTTTTGTTCTCCTGAGCTCTGCCAAGGCTGGTGGTGCTGAGGGTGCACAGCACCTCAGAAGTTTGGAAATGCTGAAATAATCAGAGCAATATTGCATAGACCCAGGTCACTTCATTTCTGTCCATGGCACTTGCTAAGTTAGAGAAGATCCATTGCCTCAGCTATTGCCTCTTAAAGCGATCCTATACAAAGATAGAATTCTTCTCCTGCTGCAAAATGCAATAAAGGAAGGAGATCATGGGAAACACATAAGCATTGTGTGTGCTGTGAGCATTTAAACTAGAAATTCCTCCTGGAATTAGGGTTTCATTTCACATGGCTGTGCAAGGAGACAAAATGTGCCAGATAACACAATAGTTCCTATCAAGAAGACTTTACAATGTGAAGACATAGGTCAGTTCAATTCATCTCACAACTCAAAAGACCAAAGTCTGGCCTGAGAGGTGGGTTCTTAGGAGGCTGACTCCTTGCTCCGTGCAATTTGAGAGGTTTCTTTGGGGCATATAACATTACTTGAAGGAATGTCTGACAATGGCATCAGTGATGAAAAGAGGGAATGTGGGAAGTTGAATCAAAAAGCGCTCTAAAGTGTAGCCATATTCAGGGAGGACTCAGGATTAGAAAAGAGAAGGTAGGGCTGGACAGCTTTCTAAAAGTAATAAAAGTAAATATAATGAATTGAAAAAAAAATATTAGGAGGGAAGGAGAAACTGAGAAGCTTGCTGAGGGAAGTGTAAAGGAGAGCTGAGGATACCTTATTTGTAGCCAACTTATTGGCTGCTGTCAGACATTTTCATTTTTTACTCCATTCTATTTGGTAAGCTGTCTTATCATTACTGTCTTCTCCATAAGTACTATGGTGTCACTTTTTGTTCCTTACAGAAGGAGAGAAAGAGAGAGGCAGGGAGGGAAATCCTTCCTCCAAGGTGTTCATGTTCCTGCATATAAATTTTGGCACAGCTGTTATTTCAGATTATTTAGGCGTTCTTTGCTTAATAACACACTTGGACAAACTATACCTTTGAAGGCTAAAATGAAATGTTCCCTTCTGTCCTTTTCCTTGTTTAAAAGCCTGTTTGCTTGTGCTGACAGACATGAAAATGGAATGGGCTGCAAACCTAACTGTTTTCGGACTGGTAGAGTTTGGGTACGTTGAGAGTGTCAGTCGTGACCCAGCGAGTGCAATTAGAAAGATGCATGACTGTAGCAGGTAGATGTGACTAACTGCTCGATGCGTAAACTCAATAATAACCTCTCCCTTATTTCATTATCTGCCCACAGCAAATCCTACCAGGGCAGGAGGAGGAAGGGAGTACCCTGGCTCGTCCGAGGTGATTCGTGAATCCAGCAGCACAACAGGCATGGTGGTTGGGATCGTGGCGGCGGCAGCGCTGTGCATCCTCATTCTCCTGTATGCCATGTACAAGTACAGGAATCGAGATGAAGGATCGTATCACGTAGATGAGAGTCGAAACTACATCAGTAACTCAGCACAATCCAATGGGGCTGTGATCAAGGAAAAACAGCCCAACAGCGCTAAAAGTTCCAACAAAAACAAGAAAAATAAGGATAAGGAGTACTATGTCTGATCTCAACATCTAAAAGAACGCTTGTATAGAAATAGTCTTCATTTTATCTGAGACATAATACAAACTTATTTACTTTACTTTTTATGAAGCACATTCAAAAACAAACAAACAAAAAAGACAGGGAATGCAATCAGAAAGGAAAGACTGTTTTTAAAAACAAGCATTTCATGCTCTTGTTTTTCAGAAACAGGAGCTGATAAATTCCCTAACATCCACAGTGTTTTCATTTACTCTGCCTGTCTTTATGTTGCTGGAACGTTTCTGAAAGACAATGATGACACCACGCATTCATAAAGCAAGGAGTATTACTACAACATCAAGGCACAATATGAAACAAAACAAATTTAAAAAAAACAAAACAGGAAAAAAAAAAAGAAAAAAGAAGCTACCTATGATTCTGGATTTAGCCAAAGTGCTAGCGCTTTCTTGAGAAGTAAGTTAGTCTTATTGTCAGAGAAGACTGTCATTATATATGGTGACTCAACAAGCAAACGTAGTTTGCCATCTGGTGCAGTGAAGCAGTGATTGGAAACTTGCATTTGAAACAAAGTGCTGGCTTTTCTGAAGACTTATGTAGAAATACTTTCAAAAAGCCCCTTTCTGGTTGTGAGGAAAATAGTACGGAGGCCTTATTTTCAAAAACAAAAACAAAAATCTGGAATATAAGGCACATTTCCACAAAAAAAAAAAAAAAAAAGGAAAACGAGGGCATAGATGCAATCATTGGGAAATTTTCATGCACGCTTAATATGTTATTACATATGTTTATATAAAAACACATCTATATGTGCTTTCTGGACTGTGATAAGTGATGTTTTATAGCCTGTTGTATAGAAAATGCAAACTATATCTGCTCTTCAGCCATTTTTGGTAAACTCAATGTTATAAGTGTTGCTAGGTATAGAGAGTTTTATGACATCTGGAGCAACAGACATACTTCAGTTTTTTTGCAGCCATTATAAATTGTCCCAGACTTTTTCCCCTTTTTTTTTTCTTTTTAATTTACAGTGTAGTGGTTATACTAAGGGGGATGTGTATGAATGTATATAAGAGTCAGCTAATTTTTTTCTTACCTGTACAGCCTCTATTATGTTGCAATTAAGTTTTAGTAGTTTGTATGAAAGACGTGGACTAGAAAGCAAAAATATATCTCTACTGTAATTTGTCTTCTCCCTCCTATCCCCATCTCTTGCTCCTGATATGCATCAATGAAGTTGATCAGAATGGCCAATTTTCCTAGAAATAACATTCGTTAATTAGCTAAATATTTAGTGACTTAAACTGGCCTTTGGCTTCCAGTCAAAGCTTCACTATTGGAGAGCATGGTTTGCCTTACAGAAACCTTGTTCTTAGAAATTATGAGAATGATGAGTTTCTTGAGAATCTTAGGAAGTATCATATAGTGTTTATCTGGCATTCAGTTATATGAACGACAGCTACTACAGCATGGGGTGGTAAAAGATCTAAAATACCCATTTTAATTATCCAGGCTGATTCTACTGCAGAATTTATCCCTTTCTCCAAAAAGGAAATAATCTTGAGGTGCACGATAGTATTTTTCAATGGTGGGCATTTTGACATATGAAAAAGTATTTTTAGCTAAGTTGATTGTGTAGTATTGCAAGACATCATAACCAGACAAGTTCATCATGTTTTAAAGTGACACAGCTTATCTTGCATATATAAAACATTAATGCATTTTAGTTAAACATATTAAATATAATGCTGTAATTTACATGTTAAGTTTGTTTTTTTTCTGGTAATATTTCATTAGTTTCACAGCAATAAATCATAGCATAACATTTTATTTACATGGAAGTTCAAAGGGAATACATTAGACAGAAAGAGGGTAGTTCAATAGAAATCAACCAAATCATCAGAAGGCCTCCTGGGAGGGATATAGATATTGACATTTCACAGATAGGAAGGAGGAATTAAAAATTAGCTTTAAACAGGAGACACAAAACATTTTGTTGTGTGTTATTCACTGTAGCTGATGAAAATAAATTGGAAACTGGTACAGCTATCTATCTGGGAGTCAAAGCACTTTAAAAATACATGTAGCTGACATGAAAACACCTCTCTTGAAGTTTGCCCACGACATCAAGGTGTGTCATGTTCCGTATGTAAAAAAAAGAAATTATTTTCATTAGCATTTACACAAAAATGAGTACAGGTTCGAAAAATCCATCTGATGTTCATTTCTTAGATTGTGTGGCATTCGTAATTTCTCCCACCTTTACAAGACAGCTGTACTCAGGGAATGGTAGGGGCAGGTATACTGGAGGTCATTGCTGGAAGCAAGAGACTTCAGCTGGAGAGGGGAAAGAAGAAGTTGAAAGCCAGGTGGTATTCAGATTTCAGTGGTTGAAGATACATAGAAAAACAAGAATAATCGGTTGACAGGAGATTTGACACGACAGAATGTGGTTTGGGCGAGATGAAATGGTCTTTTCTGCTTGGTATTGATTGCATTAATGAAATAGCATTGTCAGGCCAACTTCCAGGCAGTTTGGTAGGTCAATCTTTAACTAAATCCATACATCAAGGAAAAAAAGATCTGCTACTATTATAATAAGCAAACACAATTTTAACACTGTTTCTGAAGGTTCTCCTTTTTCCTCTTTAATTTCATAATTTAACAAAAAAACAATTATGGATGTATCAGAAGTGCCAGCAAGTGGATTTAAAATTCTTTTTTGTTTAAAAACAGCAGCAACAACAAACAGACATAAACCAACTACCTAACATAAAATTGGATCCTTTCTCTATAATAACCTAATTTGTTTGACTGAGATGGCTTCATTTCTATGACTGTATTGTGTTGCCTTTTTTAACAAAACACTAAATAACGTGTGAAACTTTCAACCCTAAGACATCAAAGAGAGGCCCAATGCCCCTAACCTTATAGTGCTTTCTGTGATAGATATTTACAATTTTTTTATTTGTTGCAAGGCCAATTTATTCATTATTGGAAATGCTAAGCAAGTGGAATTTACTGTTTTGTTAATAAAAATGTTTCTTAATACAAATGCTGGCTTGTTTCTTCTCTTGCTCTTAAATCAGGAGTACATGTTCATCTTGAAGCTCTGAAAAAAATTGGTGAATTGGTATGAAGTTGCAGGCATTCATGTCAGGAAAGAGTAACCTCAGAACTCTGTACACTTTAATGAAAACCTTCTACAAGTCTTGCGTTCAAGTGGCCCAGTTAGAAAATTATTAATGACTTCAAAACATTGTTTGCTCTTGCACAGGCTTGCTTAATTTGCAATTTTCTAGCTTTTTTTTTAATCAAAAAAATTCAAACTTGATATTTCGCTACTCCTATATATGAAAAAACAATTCCCTTCTTTTTCTGCCACTTTTTGATTTCTATGGTGGAAATAAGATGGAAGAGAGTAAGGTAATGGGATGAAAAGTGAAAAGTTAAAACTGAAAATATTTTCGCTTGTCTAGAAGATAATTTAAAAATGGAATGGTTAAAGGAATGTATTTCGGGTCCTTAAAAACATTCTTAGATAATAATTACAAAATTTCAACCGGAGCTAATCCATTACATAAGTACTTTCCTACTTAGCATGACATTTAAATTCATGGGTAACTTCAAGCAAACATCTAATCCTATTGATTTAAGCAAGTGTCTAAATTTGCCTAAATGTATTGCTCAATGGGGATGGAGTTAAGCTTTTGGATCTAGACTCCAAATAGAATTTAACTATGTATCTTTTTAAATCACATCAGTAGCTTTTTGACTTCAGTAAGATTTATTCATCTGCTTAATTACACAGAGACTGAAGTATTTTAGATAATTTAAGTTACAGAATATGTGGAGAAAATAGCTTCTATCCTTAATTGGTATAAAACAGTTTGAAAGTTCTAAACTGCTTTATACTGGGATTAGTTCTTGTGTGTGTGTGTATGCTTCAGTAAATACTGAACATTCCACTTAGGAAAATGCTTTATACACATTTAAAGGAACTATAACAACAGTGATTTTTGGTCTACCACTACTACAAAAAACCCACCAAAAATGAACAGAACAAAACAAACAAAAAGACCCCACCAAACAAAAAAGCATTTAATTATAAACTTTTTAATTCTACACTGTATTTATCCATTTTTTTTTCCTTACATCTATACTGTGCTCTCCCTTTTACCAAAATCCTAATGGCCTCTCAATACCTGCATCATCCATCATCATGTAGTCACTATAAGTGGTGTCCTCCTTCATTAGTCATCACTGTGGCCAAGTAGCTAAAAACCATTCCTAAGATGATGAAGAAAGAAACAAAACTAAACAACGCCCCCAAATGCAACTTAGAATAAGGGAAAGAGAGCACATACATAGTCTGTAAATGACAACTGCGTTTGTTAATTCCTCCAACATGACTTCTTTAGAGTTCAACAAAACAGTTTTAAATTGGGTTTCTGGGTCTGATTTTCATATGGGTTATAGAAATTTGCCTCTATGTTCAGTACAGTCCTGTTTAGATGTGCTTGGAAGTATCACGGTGGATTGGCCACATTTGTCAGTACAATTTTATTTGGCATGCAGGCTTTTTGCTTTATTTTAAAGATCCCCTTTGTTACAAAGTCTTTAAGTATTTCAGTGTAAAAGTGTTCCTGGCCCTCATGGGAGTGGGGAGAAAGAGAAATCCACACTGTATTTAATCCAGTTTATAAAATGATGAATGCTTGGGGATAATAAAACTGCTTGCCTGCCAGCCTCTGACTTCTCTGGCTGGTCTGTTCCTGCTTTAGTTGGCCACTGCTTACCATGAAATCAGAAGCATCCCCCATGGTTTAAGCTTTGAGCTAGAAATTCCAGAGAAGGGAAAAAAAAAGGTAATTGATACAGGTCAGCTCAGTTTTGTGAGGTGCAGGGACAGAACTCACCCAGTGCTTTACCAGCTCCCTTTGAAAGCTTCTTCCTACTGAAGGCCTTTGACAGACTTCAGTCATCAACTCTGACATCTGGAAAACAAATATGACCCCCTGCCTATCTCAGTCACTCACTGCTATACAAATATCTTCATCTCTTACAGTAATAGAATCATAGAATATCCTGAGGAGGAAGGGACCCCACAGGGATCATTGAGTCCCAACTCCTGACCCTGCATAAGAGACCCCAAGAGTCACACCATGTGCCTGAGAGCACTGTCTAAACGCTTCTTGAACTCTCTCAGCCTTGGTGCTGAGACCACTTCCCTGGGGAGCCTGTTCCAGTGCCCAACCACCCTCTGGGTGAAGAACTTTTTCCTAATATCCAACCTAAACCTCCCCTGACACAACTTCATGCCATTCCCTTGGATCCTATCTCTGGTCACCAGAGAGAAGAGATTGGTGCCTGCCCCTTTGCTTCTCCTTGTGAGGAAGCTATAGACCACTGTGTTCAGAACAAGCACATTGCTCCTCCAGTGGGGCTGACTTGTAGTAGACCTTGGTTTTTTTTTAAAGAAAAGAAAAGATGACATAAAGGGTAGAGTTATTTCAAAGGTTGTGGGATTCTCAGTGGGTGAATTGCCTTTAAGGACAGTAATTTCATGCTGGCATACACTTGAGAGGTTTGGAAATCCAGGTCAGTAATCATCAAAAACATCCTTTTGGTAAACAATAAAGACATGAGCTCGTTTGTCAGTGAGCATAGGGACCAACAGCAAGACTATCGAAATGTGAATGTGTTGGTCTGGTTGCAGTAAATAACACAGGAAAATGAAATTTGGGCAGCTAAAAATAACAGCTGGCAGCATTGGCCAGACTCTTATGAGTGAGTCCGATTATAAGCCAGTAAGCATTTATCGGATGATAAACAGCAAAATAGTTCTATTAGTCATAGTTTGGGATGCAGCTGACTGAACACAGGCATGGGCTGCATGGCCACATTGGCTTTTCCAGGACCAGGGGCCAGATTGCTGTTCAGGCACCCTCCGTTCTGGGGGACTGGGCAGGCTTCACACCAACAGCTGCTGCACAACAGCCAACTGGCTGTTTCCGGATAAACCTTCCTTTTCCCTTTGAAATTAAAATACATTTTCCAGGAAAGGCACAGCAGATTACTTTGTGAGACACATTAAGTGGCTCCCAAAACCTGTTGCAACACAGCCAGCACCATATGAAAGAGAAACTGTGGCTGGTTGAGAAACCTTCGTCCTGTTCAGGAGAGCCCTGGCCTCAGGGACCCCTCAGGATGGGCAGGTGTGAGGAGGACAAACACAAGAGCTGCAGGCCCTGGTCCGCCATGACTAGAGGAACAGGGGAAATTCAGCTGTGAGTGTCTCACAGCCCAGAGCCCATGGCTTGGTGAAGCTAGAGCAGGCACAGATTTCCCTTAGTTACCAAATGCCTCAAAGGAAAAAAACAGCTTCTTGAAAAGGTGGTGGCATAGAGAGTTTAGGAATTTCATTAGGAGTTACTTCAGTGTTCCTTTAGTGCTTTACCTGCCTGTGCTTCACACCAGAGAGGAGAAGCTCAGGTCTCCCCTCCTGGGGAAAGGAGGCCAAGCAGTGAAAGCCTCCCTCAAGCACTAAACTCACCCCACAGCAATACAGGGATCTGTAACTTTCTGGGAGACCAGAATTCAAAGGTTTGGACCAGAAAAGTGACTCAGGATGAGATCCAGCAACACACTCTTTAAACCATAGGGAAAGGGATAAATTTCAGCTAAAGGAGATGTAAAAATCTTAAAAAAGAAAATAATAATTCAAACAGACCACCCTAGGAAATCCTCCCCCACCTGCCACTGTTTTCTACTCAGCTTTTCAGTCTCACAGGTGAGTTTTATTCCTTACTGATTACACCTGGAGATGTACCGGGCTTGTTGCTTCAGTCCATTTGGCAGAAGGTTTGTCCAGATAGCAAGTGCAGAACTTGCTCCACATGTGAACTAAGCGTACAGAGATTTTCCTTTAGATTCGGGCATTGCTGGCAACCAATATAATGGTGGGTGTTTACTGTCTCATATTTGATTTTTGGGGAGGTCCAAGGAGCAGGAACTCCAGTGAGAGAAATTAAGAAAAAAACCCCGGAAAAACAAGCAGGGTTTGTCTGTGGTGACCAACAAATCTCCATATAACAAGCAGAAGAATTCCAGGTAATTAATTTAAATTTTGGGTTTGTTGATGGGTGGTGTTTGGGAAAGGCAAGTCTGTGCTCAGCTTTCCTGAAGGCTAAATTTGGTTGGGACCTCATTTATACCTGTCTTCAGGCTTTTTTTAGGGGAGTCTTTCAAAATGTTGATAGCACAAATTTAACAGTCATTACCTAAACCAGTTTCTCATCTATTTTAAGAGTTTTGTCAAAGGAATGCAAGATTTGACTCATATGTTAGAGTACAGCTGTACTAGCAAGTATAGCCCAGGAAGAATAAATTTATAGGGCATGGCAGTTGATGTTGTGGAATTGACCTCCATGTTGTATCTTACGATTTTCTTTGAACTGGTTGTAGTCTGGTCCCCCAGACTGAGTGCCAATTAGTGGTTAGGTGGCATTAGGTGTGTTCATGCAGCTCATCTTACTTAATCTGCAAAGTGTCCAGTCCTTCATGCAGAGTTCTCTGTAAAGGTAGTTGTAGTTAGTGGGAACAGCTGGAGTTGCTTCAGAACTGTATTCCTGATCTTAAATAAAACTTTTGTGTTGAAACACCCTTTGTGCATTGCTATATTCCAGTATGCTCATAACAATTCACTATATGAAAAGTAGGGTATTTTCAGCATGAAGTACCCAGCCCCAAATGAAAATTACTGTTAGACATAAAGGCCTTCCTGATATTTTTACAGGACTTGGTGTCTTTGCAATTCTAGCACTCATCTTCCTCTTCAACCAGCACCCCTGGTACCTGGCATCCCCTCCACCCTTTTTGTTACACCTAAAGAGAAAATTTTTAAAAATACTTGTTTTCTTTGAATAGGTTGAGGTAAATGTGGAAGTATTTTTGGACAGGTAACATGGGAGGAAGCCATGTTACCAACACTGGGATCACCAACTTTATGTGCAACTGTAGCTTGTAGAAACATTCTGTACACAAAACTGGAGC